GGGGCCTCTCGGCGCCACTACCCGTTTGAGGTGAGAACACAGGAGGATATAGAATCTAGCGAACGTGTTGGGGGTCGCCCAGCCCGCAGCCCTACAAATATCTGTCAACACTTCTAGTTGAGTGAGCTCGCAGCCTGAATGGGCAGGGCACACCCTGTGCCTGATAAGCCAGGGTGATGGCATCCACAATCCAGTGGGCCATCCTCTTCTTAGAGACGGCATTCCCCTTCTGCCGGCCTCTGTAACAGACAAAGAGCTGGTCTGAGGTCCTGAAGCTTTTGTGTCCGGTCTACGTAGCACCTTAATACTCGAACGGGACAGAGCAAAGCCAGGGCTGGGTCTGCCTCCTCCAGGGGCAGCACTTGCAGGTTCACCACTTGGTCTTTGAAGGGTGTAGTGGGAACCTTGGGCACATAGCCGGGCCGGGCCCTCAGGATTACCTGGTAGTCAGCCGGCCCAAACTCTAGGGTAGGTCCTTCCTCAGTGGAATCGGCCAAGGAGGGGCTGTCGCGAGGAGCACTAACTCTGGGAACCAGGTCCGAGTGGGCCAATACGGATCCTCCCGGATTTTGCACAGTGTCTGTGCGAGAAGGCTCACTGGGGGAAATGCATACTTGCATAGGCCCTGCGGCCAGCTGTGTGCTAGTGCATCTGTGCTGAGTGTTCCCTCGGTCAGGGAGTAAAACAACTGGCAGTGAGAGATTTCTGGAGAAGCAAACAGGTCTACCTGAGCGGCTCCGAAATGTCTCCAAATCAGCTGGACCGTCTGGGGATGGAGTCGCCATTCTCCCGGGAGCATTGCTCGAGAAAGCTCGTCGGCTGTACGGTTGAGCAGGCCCGGAATGTGAACAGCACGAAGTGACCTCAGAACCTTCCGACTCCAAAGGAGGAGGTGGCGGGCGAGTTGCGACGGGAGCGCAGACCACCCTGTCGGTTGATGTACGCAACGGTCACTGTGTTCGTGCTTGCCTCGTAAGCGCCCTTTGAGACGGTTCAAGGCCAGGCGCATTGCTAACAACTCTAGGCAATTGATGTGCCAATGCAGCTGCGGGCCCGTCCAAACCACTGAGATTGCATGCCCGTTGTACGTGGCACCCCACCCGGTGGTGGAGGCATCCGTGTAGACC